CCGGGGGAAGGAAAAATTGTTGGGGGCGCTTTGAAAAAGGAGCGGGGAGAATTGCCGGTTATTGCGGACCCCGGGCACGCTTGAAAAAAAAAAGGGCGAAGCAACGGAAACCCCGCCTCCTGTGCTCGCCAGCTGGGCTCTGCTCTAGGAAGGAGGCACTACCAAAACACTTCCGAAACACCTTGCCTTGAAAACTGCAAGGACTCATCCAAAGCAGTCACTGCAGAGTCGGGAACGACTGAGTGCAGATTTTTTAAAAAAAGGATATTTAGTGGCATATTGTTAATCAAGTTGTATCTCGACTAATAGGCTTTGGATGGATTGTGCTTGAGTGGCCTCTCCACACCCATGGATCCCGGAACTCTCCATGGTTTATGGAAGAGCTGAGGGAGGTGTGGGTGAAGAGATGCCTAGAGTGCTGCTGGTAGATGACAAGGAGCCAACCCAATCGAACACAGGCTAGAGCCACTGTGGGAGTCTACCTCAGGCCGTAAGGGTGGCGAAATTTTGCATATTTGACGTAGATTATGGCAGTATAGAAAGAAATATATAAATAAAATAACCCTAGGAGAATACATTATTGTAGTGGATCAAGATTACTTACAACTTTATCAATGCTATGTTTGTACAGGACAGAAACAACAGTTATTGGCTGCAGTGGATTTCATGGAGACTGTCTTACACTTACTAAAATCCTCGAAGCAAGGTTGAAGGTAGGTTATTGTATATGCCTCAGTGCTGGAATTGTATTCAGTTGTTAACATTAATTTGATACTTTGACATTTAAATCCCATTTTCATCTTTGTACACATAACAAATTCAGTATTTAATTTCTACTTGCTCAAATTGTTACTAAGTGCTTTTACATACAACTTACTTTTTCTGCTAGCATTGTGTTACATGTAATTTGCATCACAGTAAGCCCTTGTAAAAAACAGAAAATACTCCAAATAAGTGTCTGAGTTTTTTCTTTTTTTCCCCCAATTTTCATCTTTTTATTTTGTAAACTATCTTGTTTTATTATTCTGTAAACTGTTGGGAGACCTTTTCAAAGTGACCTGTAGCATTCAAATGAATATGTTCCTTTCGAGAAGGTCCTGCGATATACTTCACTTGTGTGGTGCTGTTAAAAAACAGTGCTAGTCACAAAATAAATTTGCTGCATTTTCTGTTTGCTGTTAACCTCTGGTATATAAGTGAGATATAGGAAACTTGTAATAATGGATGATCATGGCTGTTAGAAAAGCTTATTGCAAACTTGTATAGAAGAGCTGAATTTGTAGCCAAAATTAGAAGTACAGTGCTAATGTATTTTTGTAGCAGAAGAGGAAAGTTAATCTTCTACCTTGGGAGTGTAATACAGTGGTACCTCGGGATACGAACTTAATCCGTTCCGTGACTCTGGGCGTATCCCGAGTTGGTCGTAACCCGAAAAATTCGCAAGCAGAGGCGTTCGTATCCCGAGGTATCACTGTATAATAAATAAATTATCAACTTTGTCATTATTTCATTAATGAATTCAGTTTTTCCTGGGT